CGCAAGGGTTAGGGTTAAATTTAAAAACTGTACTTTTGAGTTAAAATATATATTTATAATTTTAATAAATGACAAATTAAAAAGGCATGAACATTTTTTTGTATCGAAAAAATATCGAACCGTGACACCAAAGTACCGAACCGAACCGTGAATTTTGTGTATCGTTGCACCCCTAAATAACAGGGATATATAATAATAGGGATTATTAACAGTTCATACTGAAGCAACAGTTCTTACCACGTCCATGATCTGCAGCAGGCTGAAGCTGAAGTGGACGGTCAGGCTGTGGGAGTCATTGCTGACCGGCCGCTCTAACGGGTTGTAGTTCTTCATCAGCTCCTTGTAGAGACGCCGCTGGTACACGCCCTGCAGAGAGCCTGAAGAGAAACAGGAACGACTGTCGTCAGCACGCATGACCGCTCCAACAGTTTAACTGAGGTGGAGCCTGACGCTAACACAGGCTTTCTCTCCCAGTTTAGCAGCTGAGAACCACTAAAGTATTCTGTGGAGCTGCCCAGACTCTCCACCATCCCCATCCTGCCAGTCCAGAGTTTCCTCCTGGACTCAGAGGCTGCTTTGACTACATCGCTCACTCTGTTCCAGGTTTTTGTATAATATAAAAATGAGTTTGATGATCTGAGACATGAAAGTCTGACAAATATGTGAGAAATGTGAGAAAACTTTCCCAGCACTACATTTGTTCTGTTCATTATCTGTTTTGTACGACTGAAGTGCTGTAACGCTGGGAGTGTTGGCAGGTCGTTAGTGGTGCCTCTTGATTGGCCGATGCAACTGAGCGGCTGCTTGAAGTGTGCAGAGCTCTGAATCTGCCATCGGGTGAGATCTGTGACCCACGTCTGGTCTGACAAACATCGATTTCACCGCATTTCTCTTCCTTTTGTCACCTTTCATCTGAGGCAGCCCAGAGTCGCTCAGAGACCGGGGGTCTTGAAGGCTTCGAGGAGACGGATTACATCAGCCTTGGTGGAGATGAAAGCTCATCCGGATGACTGACAGGTGCTCGGTGAGACCTTGGCCGAGCGTGGGGGGAGGGGCTGACTGTCAGGAAATGAGCTCCAGATAACAGAAATATTTTCTGTTCCTTTGTCTGCGTTTCGTGCTCTGACTGCTCAACTAAAAAACCCAAACGCTGGTAGAAGTCAACAAATGAAGGGATCTGAATTTCTGCATGAACGCAAGTGAAAATGAAATTATTTTATTTACTGTCAACATGAAGAACTGCAGAGCTGTGACTGTTACAGTGATGCTGCAGCTTCTGCAGGCAAACGTTTTACTTTTATCTGGACTTCTGATCCTCGGGTGTATTATAAGTTTTAGTCTGTTACTTCAGTCCTGCATTTGAAGCTGTTTCTGTGGGTCAGTGGTTTCTATTAATAGAACTGTTGTTTCTATTTCCCCCGCGCTTTCACGCCTGCTCTATCTTCTAATATAATTTCTCTTCATAGTTTATATTCTCATCTTGTTGTTTTTGTTCTCGGTTGTAGTTACTGTTACCAACGCTGTGTTTTTGTCTGTGATGTCTCCTGTGTCACGTTAATCTTGTTTATCCTCATTCAGTTGTGTCTTACTTCCTGTTTTACTTTGATAGCGGCTGTTATCAATGCCTCATGTGAAGTTAAACGTGTCTCTTTATGTTGTCTCCACCTGACCCGTGGAGGCACGGACCCTCCAGCTCTGATGGAAAGGTGTCCGTTTGTCCAGCACGTGATTCTGGGGAATCTGGAGGCCAAGTCAACACCTCAAACTGGTTGTTGTGCTCCTCAAACCATTCTGGAAACATTCCTGCTTCCAGTGCATTATCCTGCTGAAAGAGACCACAGCCATCAGGGAGCACTGTTTCCATCGCCCAAAGCATCACGCTGCTGCTTCCTCTGGCTCACCGTCTTCCCATAATGCATCCTATTGTCGAGTGTTCCCCAGAAAAGCGGCGCACACGCATGCATCCAAAAAACGTGATTCGGACCAGGCCACCTTCTTCCATTGTTCTGTGCTTTAGTTCTGATGGTCAGCACGCCCACCCTGACTGGTCTGCAGCCCCATATGCATTAAACTGGTGCTCTGTGCATCCTGACACCTTTCCATCAGAACCACCTGACATCGACAGTTTGAGCTACAGCAGCTCGTTTGTTGGACTCGTGCAGACTGGAGACAAGCATCTCTGCTGGGGACAGGAAGAGACTGAACAGGGTGATCCGAAGGGCCAGCTCTGTTCTTGGATGCCCTCTGGACCCAGTGGAGGTGGTGAGTGACAGGAGAACGGCGGCTAAGCTGTCATCCCTGATGGACAACATCTCCCACCCCATGCAGCAGACTGTGACAGCACTGAGCAGCTCCTTCAGTGGGAGACTGCGGCACCCACGGTGTGGGACGGAGAGATTTCGCAGGTCTTTCCTCCCCACTGCTGTCAGACTCCACAACAAAGACTTTAACTGATCAAACACATCCACACATATGCAATAACACTAAGTGCAATAATCCTTTCTGTCATCGTTGTATTTTTACTCAGTTGTATATAGCATTTGTATTCGTATTCTATTTTTATCTTATTGTATATTTATTCTATTCTATTCTACTGTATATAGTATTTTATTCTATTCTGTACAGTTGTGTACTGTATTTATTCTTATTGTATTCTAATTTTTGCCTCATAACTTTTGCACTGTCCACTTCCTGCTGTGACAAAACAAATTTCCCACGTGTGGGACTAATAAAGGTTATCTTATCTTATCTTAAATCTGCAGTTTTCTACATGTTCTGACCCAAACTGTCACACTGACCCATTTCTCCTGCTTCTCCCATCATTTTACAGGTTCTTGTTCCCTGACATGTCCCACCCACTAACAGGTGCCAGGATGCAGATCGGTGTCATTCACTCCACCCGTCAGCGTGTTAAGGCTGATCGGTGTATCGCTCTCTGATTTTGCATTCCCAGCCTCGCTCTTCGTGTCTTGAGCTTTTGTACCTTCTCCTCATTAACCTGCATTAAACGCTCACTTTGAGCTCGATTCCTGCTGCCCGAGTCAGCGACACAGCTAACTCTGACACTCATAAACACGTGAAACACAAATATGGATTCTAACCGGTCACGTGACTGATGCAATGTTGTGTAGGAGAGCTGATGTGAGTGAAGCTGATATGTAAATGTGTCAGACTGCTCCAATAAAAGCCTTTCATGCTGTTCCAGCGGTGGCAGCCCAACCCTGCACGCTGCATGTACCAAACCAGTTCTTTTCCTTTGTTTTTTGGCATATTTCTCCTGTTCCAGGTGTGCATGTTCATATCAAACATGACCAAAGCTTCAGATGATGAGCTCAGTGTCTGCACAGAGAGCCAAAAGCTGCAGACTGCTGTAAAAACACCGTTTTTTCACCCTTTTATCTGAAGTATGTTGTGATTGGGGATTTCCTTAAGTGCTCTGATGTAAGGCAGGCGTCCTCCATCAGTCTGCTCGGGGTACTGGAGGGTGGGGCACGTGTTGAGAGACAGGGGTGGTTTTCAGAAATCTGCATATCACAGCTGACCTGCAGCATGTGTAAATGCAGAATGCGTGAAGAGTCGGTGCATTCAGGAAGCTAATGCTGCTGCGCCGCATGCATTCATTAAAGACAAAGGAAGGAATCTGAGTCTCAGCCAGCTGTGAACAACAAACAGATTCTGCAAAATCCCAGATTATGATATAAGAAGCGAGTCTGTGGAGGAGATGGAAGGAGTACTGAGCAGCTCATGAATAGAAAATGAGAGTGAGAGGAGGACGGGCGGGCGGAGGAGTAATAATGATGAAGAGAGGGCAGCTATGACGAGTGGGACGGCGGTGACATACATGTGGAGGTGTGGAGATGTCCAGGAGAGGGGGCGGTGGACTTTAACCAGACTGTTAACGATGATTTTGGAGAGTTGGAGGATGATGAGGAAAGCAGGTGCATGATTACGTGTGTGGTAGGAGAGACAGGTGGGTTGAAGGTGGGAGTACATCAGGGATCTGCTCTGAGCTCCTTCCTGTTTGCAGCGCTGACAGATGAGGTCGAGAAAGAGGAGCAGGTGGAGGAGAGCCTGGAGAGGTGGAGGTATGCTGGGGAGAGAAGAGGAATGAAAGTCCGTAAAAGGAAAACGGACCATGTGTGAATGAGGTGCATGCAAGGAGAGGTGCAACACAGAGATAGTGTCGCTGCAGGAGTTTAATGGAGTCAACCATCCAGATAGAGATGAAGAAGTGAGTGCAGGCAGGGTGGAGCGGGTGGAGATGAGTGTCAGGGCTGATTTGTAACAGAAGGAGAGCAGCAGGAGAGAAAGGGGAGGTTTCAGGATGGTGGTGAGAGCTGCTGTGATGAGTGGAGATCAGATTTAAAGGGAGAAGCAGAAGCTGCTCAGTGACTCCACGTGCTGTGAAATAAACACTGTAAAAACACCACCCACTCTGAGTGTGGTGGTGTCTGAGTCAAACCGAACACTTCTGTGAAGACGTGAAGCTTCTGGGCTCTTTGTGTGTTTCGCACTGATCTCAGAGCTGTGACTGCCTGCACGATAACCCTCGAACCTTCAAACGTCTTTAAGAGAAGGTGGGAGACACGGTTCAACAGTGAGGCCGCAAGGACGCCCCACAGACGCTCACTAACGGGAACAAAAGACGTTTTATTAGCTTTAAAAAATGCTTGTTCTTCTTAGGAAACGACCAAGAAAACATGATTTAATTGGCTGAGTTATTTGAACAGCTGTGAAAGGTCAACATTTCCTTTGGGGAAATAACATTTCAAAAGATTTAAAGCGGCAGCTGCTGAAGAAGACGTCTTTAAACCTTAAACTGAACCTCAGAGCTGATTTCACAGCGTAAAGACCAGAATCAGCACAGAGACGTGAAGTAGTTCAAAACGTCTTTTTCTAAGAAGACATTTATGACCCCGGTTTTATGCAAACGAGCTCCTCCAGCAGCGAATAATCTGAACCCGCAGCGGGCTGAAGACGTCCACAGACGGTGTGAACAGACGATGTTCATAATAAAGATCTGTGATAATATGCAGGCTAATAGAGAAACTGTAAACCTGAAAGAGTTGATACAAACAATCCAGATAAGAACTGGTGACTTTTTTAATCTCTTCTACGAGATTACATTAAAAATAATCGCACAGAAAAAATACGTTGACAGATAAGTGAGCACTGCTACCACAGGGCAGCTCGTTTCACTCAGATTTAATCTGACATGAATCATGAAAACCTGATAACACGGCCCCATTTAATCTCCACTGGACCTGTCAAACTTCTGCCTAATAACCAGAGATGGGCAGTAACGCGTTACTGTAATCCGATTACTTTTTTCAAGTAACGAGTAAAGTAAGGGATTAGATTACCGTTACTTTCCCGTAGGAACGCTGCGTTACTGCGTTACTAAAACCGTGATTTTTTGCGAGAATGTCTCACGACAGTGACGTAAGCGAGTGCGACGTTCGTGACAACAGCTGTGTGCAGATCAACAATGGATCAATATCGAGTGCAGAGAGAGTATGAGCGTGCAGCGTTTAAAGCGTGGAAGTACTGACCTTACTTTGAGTTTGATTCCATAAAAAGTGACAAAAACATTAGTGTCCGCTGTGCGTGGGAAGAAAACTTCTTTTTACAGCGAAAAAACCCCTAAACTTCCAACAAGCACCGAGTAGCTACGACGTAATGGGAAACTCACAGAGAAACTCGCGGATTCTTCCACTGACCGCGGCACACCTGCACCAGGGTAACCTCGCTACCTCCTGCTACTAACCGCCCTGACTACTTTTCTGCTTGTTTACCATGAAGTGATAAAAAAAATAAAGTCGATTCACGCCAACCTAGGAACCTCGCCTACCCGTGCTTACAGTATAGCAAACCGTGTCTTTGACTTTATTTATTTTCTGCTGTGTTTTACTTGCATCTATTTGAAAGACTGAGTGTAAACACACAAAAATATTTTATTTTATGTGCTGGAATGTGCAGAAAATAGGTTTAAATGTTAAACTAATTTTTCAAGTCAGAGAATGTTGCAGATAATTAAATTTTTGCTTGATGCATAAAGTTAAAAGATTAAAACTAATAAAACAAGTTTTAAAAAGAGACTTTTCCATCTGATTACATTTTGTATGATGGATTATGCAGAAAAAGTAGAATTGGGCTGAAAGATCTATCGCTTTATCACCTATTCAGGTTGTAAATCGTGTTTTTAAAAAGTAACTAAGTAATTAATTACTTTTGAAAATAAGTAATCAGTAAAGTAACGGGATTACTTTTTTGGGGAAGTAATCAGTAATTAGTTACTGATTACTTTTTTCAAGTAACTTGACCAACACTGCTAAAACCCAGTAAAAAACAAAACATCCTTACTCTGAGTGCATAAAAGTTTAACTGCACATTTAATCCTTGAGATGTCTGATAAGAAAAAAGATTGCAGCGACACTCGAGACGGGGGCGGGGTTTAACAACAGGCGAGCCGTTTATTAGGCTGGGGGAAGGTACAAACAAAGACTACTAAAGCTAAACTGAACTGGAACGAAACTGGGAGAAAATAGATACTAAACGGGACAAAGAACATGAAAAAGACCTGAACACAGGAAACACGTACGCTGGGAAACAAACACAACAGAAGACCCGACAACGACTGACAGAAAACTCCCACACTAAATCCACAGAGAGGAGACGAGGGGAGCGGAAACACAGCCGACTCAAATGAATGTGACTAAACACAACCCACAAGCATCGCAGAAAATCTACTGTTTCTTCTTGTGTGAACCCAGGAAAACTCTGCTGCACTGTACTGTGACACGTGGCTGAGCGTGGATGGTGTCAGGAAGAGGAGCATAAATCTGATGAAGATACAGTGAGAGGTCCAGCTTTGCGCCCTTCTCCTGTGAAATGTTCCCAAAGACTCGCGGTGGCCCAGACTGGACCCTTTGATGGCCTGGTTCTGGCCCGCGGGTTGCATGTTTGACACACCCACCCGTGGAAATGTTAATGCACAGGTGCAAAATTCTTCTTCTTCCTTTTTCCTCCCTTACACCTGGACTGCACGAGGATCACCTCACACTGATTCTCCCTCAGCAAACAGCAGGACGCCGCACGCACAGAATCAAACTTCTTATTTAATCTGCAGATTGAAGTTCTGTTTTTGATTCACTCCAAAGACATAAAATGTGATAGAAGCAAAATCTGATCACAGCATTTGTTGTTAAACGTTTATTCTAATCAAATCAACTTCTTATTCACTTTCTGTTTGAAAAACGCATCTTTGAAATGTCTGCATGTGCATCAAGATGCAGTTCAAAGCTGGAGAGCTGGTTTTAGTCCACAGGTTACAATTCTTAATCCAGATAAGTGTCCTCACAGCCATAGACGACCTGTGTGTGGTTGTGTGTGTGTGTGTGTGTGTGTGTGTGTGTGTGTGTGTGTGTGTGTGTGTGTGTGTGTGTGTGTGTGTGTGTGTGTGTGTGTGTGTGTGTGTGTGTGTGTGCCACGGGTGAGAATCACAGCGTGGAATTGAGCGGGGTGAAGACGCGAGCGTCCATCATCAGCAGCGAGTCTCAGAGAAGCTGAGCGGAGTTCCTCCTGAACCGACGGCAAACACGGAGAGAACGAGAATCAACAGAGGGTTCGCTCTGAGAGGAGACGGGGTTGCTCCTCCCCCCAAAAAGCATCCAAAGGAGTAGATTCAGCAGCCGGAGACACCGAGGAGAGAGAGAGAGGTCTGTGAGTGTGTGTGCGCACATGTGAGGACGGAAACGTAGAAACAGTCATAAAACTGAGCTTTACAGAACAACACACCTTCATCCACTGCTGGATGTTTACCAGTTTGTAGTGTTTTTTTTCTTTTTGTTATCTGGGATCTGTATGATGTCATCGATTGGAGATACAGTTGTGGCCAGAAGTTTCCATCCCCTCATCTCAGGCATGCATGCTGGTAATGTTGGGCTTTTAATCATGTCTTTGCACTGTTGTTTTCCCAGGGTGGATGCAGGCTCAGATATATGGTTCATATTTGTAGAAATGTCTCTGAGCAGGCTGCACCTCGAGCACAGTGTTGTCGCAGCGATGAACATGAACTCAGGCTGATGTCTGACTGCTCCTCTTGGCAAAACTGGTGGACTTCATTTAAATTGCTTGGTTTCCTGGGATGGACCACATTCAAAGACACTCTGAAGCTGCGTCGTCCACACCAAAACCAGTTCTGATGTGTTTGGACTTTTGTCCACACAAAAGCATCACACAGCTTCATCTACACTCACTCAAATCTTTTAATAACGATTCATTTGTGTGACAGCACTCGTTGGATCGCCCGGCACAAAGTCCAACCAACGCAGTGAAGGGGAAGTGCAGATTTACACAACTACAGGTTATTCTGATGTCGCGTCCCTTTGCCGAGGTCTGGAAGAAGTCCAGCCCCGTCACTGTGAAATGAGAGGAAAGCAGTTATGATGTTCAGGAACCAACCAGGATCAAGCTCGCCATGAACAGGAAACTGCAGGAACACCAGAGACAAGATGCATGTTTGGAGGAGTAAAGGTGAAGCTTTCAAACCTGAAAACACCAACTGTCTGCTCTGTTTGCTGTCAGGGAGTGGACGTTACACTCAGCGATGGAACAATGAGGGACGATGGCTACTTCTCCTCAAATCAGCACAAAATAAATAACATTCAGTGTTGTGGCTGAACGGTGCAGCGACACCTCCCAGCCGTGAGCTGGACTCTTCATCGCTCAGCTGTCACACCTCACTGAAACCAAGTCTCAGGGACTGACAGCCCGAGGTCACCTGCAGAGTCCATTCACACTTCTGACTGCAGCGCCATCACAGACACGAAAACTGAGAGACGCTTAAAGAGACGCCTGGAGGAACAAAGTCACAGCCGAGTTCAAATATGTTGCAGAAAAGAACACGCTTTCCTTTACTTCCTGTCATAGATCTCCTGTTCCTGTGGACGATGCTCAGCTTAAATATCGTGAAAGTTTCAAATAAGTGCATCAGGCTACGTACAAGTACTCAGAGTCAGAACCAAAGCTGCAGACCCTCACTTTCTCACAGTTTTTCTCTTTTGGATCTGTGTGATGTCATAAAGAGCCTGGTCCTTTCAGGTACTCGGCAGCGTCACCAAACTGGTGTTCAAATCTTGACCTAAAAGGGGAGGAGCTAAAATTATGGATGTGATTCAAGCAGCCCGCGGTGGCTGACGACCGTGCTGTAAATAAAGATTATTATTGCGACTGTGTGCAGGGAACTTGGGATCTCGTTGCCTTGGAAATGGTTCCCTCAAAGACTCGTCTGCAACCACTCACAGTCAGCTGCAGCTCTGGCAACAACACACCCGTCTGCTTTCAGCTTCATATGAAATCTCTTTGTGATAATACAGTAATTATCTGTGATGAATAAGCAAACAATCTCAAATCTGTTGTTGTCCTTTTATACGGAGATTCACATTAACTGCTCAGACCTAGATTAGAAATCTGCTTTTAAATAGGAAAATCACTAGAAACCAGCTGCCAACCAGTTCAGCCTCTGTTGCAAAGACAGGTTCTGCACACATCTGTGCAGACGGACTCCCACAAAGGTGACATCCACAGGCTGGGGGTGTTGCATGCTGAACTTCTGAACAACCGCCAGTAAAATAAATTCAATGCAATGATTTTTACTTCTCATCTAGTCTAACTGAACCGTAACCTTTGACAGTGGGAGGATGTTAAGATCTTCCATGAGGACTGACGGTGGTGCGGGAGCACCAACTACATCCTGCCAGCTTCTCACATGTAAGCACAAGGTGTCCTTTGTCTGCACTGCACGGCATTAAAGATTAAACTCCTCACACATGGACACGTGTCAAGGACCTCAAACATATTTCAACCCTGAGTTTTACAGCCAGCATCTAGTGGCTGCTAGCGGTACTGCACACGAACTGCCTTTTATTAAAAGTCATTTTAAATTTCAGCATGGCAACATTTTGTTTACTGTCATGGAAACTCTGAATAAAGAGTCGAGTCCCCAGCGTGAAGGCGTTTCTCCGCTCAGCTGAGCGTGATACAAACTCCTGATTAATTTCCTAATGAGGGCTGAATAATTAGCTCGCTTTCTTAATGACTCTCTCCATTAAAGGCAGCGGCTGGCACAGAGAGAAGAGCGACGTCTGCCAAACTAAAGCCAAACTGTGCCCAGGATGATTATCCTGAGTCTGTTTGAGTTTAGTCAGCACTGACAGATCCATCGCTGCTGTCACACAACGAGAAGCTTTACGCATGGAGACAAAGACTTAGTCATTCCTCAGGGCTCTGTGATGGGACTTTTTATTATACATGTTTCCCCCAATACTATAATTCATTATTATCAGGATGTCATTCATTGGCTTCCTGTTAAATCCAGAATTCAAAATCCTGCTCCTCACATACAAGGTCTCAAATAATCAGGCCCATCTTATCTTAATGACCTTGTAGTACCATATCACCCTATTAGAGCACTTCGCTCTCGCTCTGCAGGCCTACTTGTTGTTCCTAGAGTATTTAAAAGTAGAATGGGAGGCAGAGCCTTCAGTTTTCGTTCCCTTTAACACCAGCTCCGTGTTGTAATCTTTGTTTTGATCCCCGTGTCGGGGCTTCGCTCGGTGCAGAGGTGACTCTCCTGTCAGTAATGAACTTTAAATGAAAGAAACCCATTCCTCTTTAAATAATCACCCAGCTGGGCACAGACTGTGAAGATATGAAAGTTTATCATTGGTCTAGGTAAATCCCCTGGATCAGGTACCAGCCTTATAAGCTGTATGCAGCCAGTTAACAGTAAGACACTGAAACACTGATTATCGGTAATATTTCTGGTAATATTTGAGTTTTGCGCAGATGTTTTTAATCCCAGCATCCTCAGCTCAGCAGGCTCGGTGCACTCTGCAGCTTATTACCAGCTCTGCCTGCAGCAGAGATGAGCACAAATGCTGTAACACATTCAAAGGAAACAGCTGATCATTACACAGGCCTGGACTGCCACCTAGTGGAGGAAGAGAGAACTGCCTCACAACCGTTTGCGAGGAGCTGCAGGCAAAAACATCCTGAAATTTCAGGCTGTTTCACTGCCGTGGAGCCAGCTGGGTTCCAGACTTTTCTCATTTCACACTCATTTAACATCCCTGTGACTCTGGGCCTTACTCCACCTGGCCTCACCTGTGCACCACCTCTATTTTCTGTTCCTCTACAGAGACATGGTATGCAGTGGGGACTGTGAGATGTCATGCATGTCTCCTTTTTGAAGTTATTCACTCAGTTTCCAGAACTGAAAAATGAAGCCAATGCTAAAGTGCTAAAAGCTGCAGTTCCTCTAATGTCCACTAGGGGCCCCAGCAGCGAGCCAGGCCCCTGGTCGAGACAGCTCTGGCCTCTGTGGGTAGCTCCTCTCTTTATAACTGTGCGGTGGTGAGCCAGCGGTCTGAATGCTGAAGGTTTGCATTATTAGGGGCGTGGCCTGACAGGTGGATGGTGGCAGAGGAGGCTGTAATGAAATGCACTGCGTTTATGCTGCTGGAGCATTTTTAGTTAAGTGTAGTGAAAGATGTCTGAGTGAAAGTCGAGATTTATCTGATCTTACTGAACACGGACGCGCTGGAGTTACAGGAAACACCCAAAGTAGTTGAAAGAGCATGTTTAATGTTCACATTCATGTGTTTCTACAAAGACTTTGTGCTTATTTAACCACCGATGAGCCAGGAAACAAAATCCTGGTCACCCAGTGAGAAAGAAATCATCCATCAGGTGAGAAGGACACACGGCATTTTTCTACTAACACATCCTGTACATCCACAGTGTTTCCTGTCGTTGGCGGTTATTGATCACGACGATGCTGCGGCCAGGCAACGATCAGCTGCCCAGCCTGTCGCTCAGGTAGCTCGACGTCTTGGCGTCCTGCAGCAGCATCTTGGTGATGTCGTGCAGGTTCTGCTGGTACGCCAGCCTGTAGCGGCTGTACACGTCATCGCAGTAAGTCAGCAGGCGCTTGACGTTGGAGGTGACGCTGCCGGGAGCGCCGTCCAGCCTGAAACACACACAGTGCAGGTCAGTCCACGTCAAATTTTGGCTGTTGTCAGGTCGTTTTTCTGTGGTAGGAGTCTTACTTTTTGAAAATGTCCTCAAACAGGGTGGAGGTGAGCGGGCGGTGGCGTTTGAGCTCTTCCAGGTAACCGAAGTCTCCGTTCAGGACGACCTTCTGGTACAGAATCTCCGCCCAGTCCGGACTGTAGCCGTACGCCTCCGACACCACGAACACCTGAGACACAGGAAACACCGTCATGGCGGCTCCGCCCATCGTACGCAACATTAGAACCACCTCCCGAGTCCCGGGAGGTGGAGAACAAATCAACAGCTTGAACTTTTCTTCAAGTCTTTAAATTTGAAGCGCCCTGCTTCCAACCAATCAGCTTCAAGAAGTGATGGAGTTGCTGCTTCAGACAGGTGGAGGTTTGTGGAAGGAAGGACAACAGGAACCCACCTGGTAGCACCGCGGCAGCGCCATGGCGGCGCCCAGCAGCTCAGCAGGTCGCAGGTTGATGATGCGCAGGTCTGATCCCTGATTCAGGAAGTGGAGCTGAAGAGCGACCAGCTTAGCTGTGCGGATGCAGCGAGTCGCCTGACGCACACACGAATCCTGACACACACACACACACACACACACACACACACACACACACACACACACACACACACACACACACACACACACTCAGGTCCTCTCAGGACGTTAAAGACAGGAACAGGAAGCTGTGGGAGGAGCTCGGGTACCTTGGAGAAGCTCTCTGCCGCGTCCTTCAGCAGACCCAGCACTTTGACCAATGAGCTCTTCAGCTCCGGCGTGATGACTGAAACACAGGAAGTAAGACTGGGATCAGACCAGAGGAAAGAACCAATCGTGGAGGCTTTGGTGAGTTTTTGGCGTTGGCCGGCTCTCGGCGGGCGCTCGCTCACCCCAGGCCTGAGACTCGATCATCTTCAGCTGCGTCCTGGCGGCTATTTCGTGGTTTTCTCCGATCTCCCTCCTCATGGTGAAGCACAGTGCCACCATGTTGTACTTCTCGCTGTCTGCGGGGAGGCAGCGCTTTATGTAGTCCAGCAGAGCCGACTTCAGACTGGAGCTCTGCAGCGAGGGAGCGAGCGACAGCGTGAGTTCACTCGACTCATGGACAAGCTGCAGGATGTTTCCCCATCCAGACCAACAACTCTCTGCAGTGCTGTTTCTCTCACATGTACTCAGGTAGAATCATCAGTAATTAGTTATTATAGACCTGTTTCTACTCTTTCCTGTCACCGCCCTTACAGCGAGAGCCAGTCAGGGTTGTCTGTGAAGGTCCTCAGTCGTCCCGCTCATCGTCGTCTGAGGAGCCTGGAGAGAAAAAGCGTCCGGACTTCTTTAAGTTTCCTTCAAGACTTTTTATCCGAGAAGCTTCTTCAGTTCTCAGAGGAACTGTGTCATCTGTGTCCACTGTGAGCGACCATCTTTGAACAGAGGGCGGGGCTTACAACACCAGCTGTCTGCCATCTATAATCCAGTTTTGAGATCCTTCCCAGGCGCCTTAACGCCCACTCACATCCTGGGCCTTCTGACCTCAGTGAGTCACATGATGGGGCCAGGTTTCACCTGAAACCCTGGCTGATTGTGACCCACACCTGTTTTCACACCTCGGCTCGTGTGATTAGGCAGAGGATCAATAGGGGGTCCGTGACCCTCTTGGGGGGACACTCCCACAGGGCTTAAATCTGGGACGGTTTCTCTGTACAGCTTCTCGGATGAAACGTCTCCAAGGAAACTTAAAGTCCGGACGCTTTTCTTTCCAAGGTCCTTAGACCAGTGAGTCAGAACCAATCAGAGCGCAGGAACAGCTCTTACTGAAGTCATCCATGAGCTGAAGCTCAGCAGATTCAGCTGCGCTTCTTCTTGATCTCTGCTGATTTTAATCCTTCGTTGGTTTAACAGGTCAGGTTCTTGATTGGCTCTCACCGTGTGCCGACTCGCTCGTCTCAGCAGCAAATCTCTGAACTTTCTCTGAGATCAGTTAGAGCTGATCCACATTCAAAAGCAACTCTGTGTGTGTGTGTGTGTGTGTGTGTGTGTGTGTGTGTGTGTGTGTGTGTGCGCGCGTGTGCGCGCGTGTGTGTTGACCTGTCCTCTGTCTGTGTCCACCTTCTTCCTCAGCAGCATCTCGAAGCAGTGGTTCTGATGCAGCAGATCGAAGACGTACGTCATCTCGTTATACCTGCCGATACCTGTCAGCAGACGGACCTGCACGCACGCACACACACGCACACACACACACACACAGGAAACACCGACACACACGCACACACACACGCACACACACGCACACACGCACGCACACACACACACACACACGCACACACACACACACACAGGAAAACCTTTACTTTTTTTCGTCTGTAATCCAACGTTGAACCAAGTAACTGAGTAGAAAGTATCCACGGCTGGTTTGTGTAATGATAGTTACTCAAATCACTCAAGCATTTTTTTCCTATCAGCTGGCGCGACGTGTACACACCGGGACGCCACGACGCAGTAATTAACATGCGTGCAGCAGCACGAGCATGAAGGGGAACAGCGGGGTGTGGATCTGTGTTTGGGGGCTCACCAGCAGGCTGTAGTGCCCTCCTGGAGCCAGGTAGGTGTGGCTGAGGTGACGGGCGGCTTGGAGCACTCTCACGATCCCCTCCATGTTGCAGGTGAGACTGAAACAGTCGTGCGCCACGATCAGCAGCTCTACAACTACAGGAGACAAAAAGGAAGGGGGCTTTCAGCTCTTTTCAAAATAAGACGCCGAGCCTCGTAAAGCCACCTCCCAGCTGGAAATGGAAGAACTTGAAGCATCCTGATCAGACTGAAAGTCCAACCGCACATGTGCAAAACTCATCCCACAGTTTTATTATCACAGGTTGTCATATGAAGCTTTTATACTTTGTCACTGTTTATGAGTACGTGTGTAAACGTGCATTTCATACTGTGCATTAGTGTGCATGACAGGACGAAGTCATAACAAGGTAAACATTTAAATCAAGAACATTTCATGCTTCTTATTCAGAAACCAACACCGTTCATTTGCTTTGTGGCCTCTTGGGGGCAGCAGAACACAACAAACAGCTCTTTACACTCGAGGTGTATTTGTGTGTGCGCGCGTGTGTGTTTGTCGTACTGCAGTTCAGGTCCCTCAGAGGAACAGAGTTGAGGTGCTCCAGCAGTTTGAGTCCCACCAGGTTCGGGTCGTCACATAGTTTGATCAGCTGCACCAGCGCGTCCCTGCCCTCCAACAGTCTGAAAATGTGCTTTTCCACCACTAACACACACACACACACACACACACACACACACACACACACACACACACACACACACACACACACACACACACAGACACACACACACTACCTGGATGCTGAGGCCTAACATTGGAGAACTTTTCAAACCTGAGACGTGCTCTCTCACCTGGCTGCAGCTCCTGGGTGGAGGCCAGCAGCGCCTGGACCATAGCGGAGGAAATGAGCTCAGCCACGGCGTCTGCAGACAGACCCTGAGCTTTGACGAAGGCCCGAGCCTTCCTGAAGCGCTCCGGCTGCTCGGACAGCAGCAGCTTCTCCAGCACCGAGCAGGGCTCCTCCCTGCAGATGCTGCTGAAGGAGCACTGCAGCTCCTGAGGAGACGGGGTCGGACACTCCGGTAAACTTCACACAGTTTTATAAAGAAACGAGCAGAGCAGACGGTTCTGCAGGAACGTTATCAAATCACCCGACGGGAGCCGGTTAGATACCTTGGAGAGCTGGTAGAGGCTGAGGACTTGTTTGCAGTAGTTGTTGCCATGGCGACACTGATCCACCAGTTTCTGGAGCTGGACGGCGACCTCATCTTCGGGGAGGGGGAGCATCACAAAGGAGGACAGGCTGCTGACTGAGGGAGCTGGAAAAGATGGTATTCATACTCATCGATGACGGTTCAGGAAGCAAAACTGCAATTACTGGATTAAAAACAATAACAGTTTCTGCCCAGCGTGTAAACTGCTGCCCGCATCGAGTCCTACGTGTATTTATGAGCTGCTCTGCCACCGACTCGTCTCAGATTTGAACCCTTGTGGTGTCCTCGGGTCAAATATGACCCCTAGGTGTATGGCAAACAAGTGCATGGGAATCCCGAGGACAACACAAGGATGGAGAGGATTTCTCATGGCAGTTAAAGGTCAAAGGTCGTTGAGTTCGGTGGCCTGGGGATCTCATCTCTGCCTTTTCTGGATAATGTGATTCTGCTGGGTTCATGGAGCGATGACCTCCGACTGCACTTCCATGAGCTGAAAGGACGACACCACAGATGGAAGCAGCAGGAAGTGGAGCTGCCGTTCCTCCACAGTGAAAGGAGGCAGCTGAGGTGGTTCGGGGATCTGACCGACATGTGTCCTGGATGAACCTAGGTCAGGTGTTTTTGGGGCATGTCCAACCAGGAGGAGAGCAGCACAGACCCAGGACAGAAACACAACATTACCAAGCTGGGAGAGGGTCGCGTGGGACCCCAAAGACAAAGACTTGGACAGATGGGAGAAGATGGACGGATGCATGTTGTCCTATTACACGAGTAGTTGGAATGCAGTTGAGAAAAATAAATATACAGCATCAAAAGCTTCAATATTTTGTGCTTAATAAAAAAAAATCTGTTTTCTGGAAGTTCTGCTCGGAGGATATGTGCTTTATGTGAACTGAAGGTCAGAGGTCACTTACAGCTCGTGATGCTTGCCCTCGCGGGAGCTTCACAGTCGTCCTCCGGCGGTTCGTCGCTCAGCTCTCCGGATGCCAGGCCTCGGCAGCGCAGCACCAGCCACACGTCCGGGTGGTACAGGGAGAAATAACGACACACCCGGCTGGCTTCATGGATGCTGCCGTCGTCTAACAGCTGACCAATCAGAGCGGCCAGAACGCTCCTCTCCTCTGGACTCAGCGCCGACTCAGCATTAGGCTCCTCCTGCTCGTCGGAGGGACCGGGCAGTCCCTCCAGCGCGAGGTACCCCTCGGTGTTCAGCTGAGTTATGTTGGAGAAGGAGAACTCCTTCATCAGCGCCTTGTGCGTGTTCATTTCAGGGTTGGCGGCCGGCGGCGGCAGGTTAAAGACGCTCTCCTTCTCCATGGCGACGGTAAGGATGCGTTTGCGGATCCGGCTGAGCCACTGCTCTTTCTCCAGGCTCTCCAGTTTGTCCACGGGAGCCGGGGTGATCCGGGAGAGCCAGTGGGCGGCGAGCCCGAGCAGCAGGCAGTGCTCCTGGATGTCCAGCAGGTCCTCCGGAGCCTCCAGAGACCCTGGAGCGCCAGCCTCAGCCTGCGACAGGAAGAACTGGGAGGCGGGGTCTGGATCGGTGCCATCGGCCTCCAGCTGCTCGTGACATTTCTTCCAGAAGCCGGCGCGGGTCTCGAATCTGCCCCACTGCCGCTTGGACCTCTGAGAGCTCACCTCCTGAAGGAGCTGAAGGAGAACCGAGGGAAGCTGCTGTTAACTTTAAAGGGAAGCGTCTCAGATTCCTCAGCCACACAGCACAAAGACTTTATACTGGGTAAACTGGGCCACATTTACAACAAACCAAACAGAGGAAATAGAGCTCGACTCTCAGTGGTGTGCAGGACCTCTCGTCTTCTGTGTCAGTAAATCAGTTTTTGAGACGTCACAGATAAATGATAGATTTAAAAGCATGCACGAAGAAGACCGAGTGTGGAACCCGGCCGTGTGCAGGTGGGTCGCACCTGGCTGAGCAGCAGACGGTGCACGGGCAGGCCGGCCAGCTGGGCCACCTGTCGCGCCTGGCTGTAGCACCCCCTCGCTTGCAGAGCGTCTACGGTCGCCTGGAACTCCTCCTGCTGGACGGAGGGAGAACTGCTCTGCAGGAGCCTGGGAGATATGCTGACCTCTGACCCCTGAAGCAACTGACTCAGCTGGTTCAGCTTCCTGAAATCTGGACCTTCAAACGAAAGAGAAAATGAGAAACTCAGGTTCTTCCAGAGAGTTGATGAAGCGGGTAGCTGCAGACCGTCGGGCACAGCTCACCGTTGGATTTGAGGAGTTTGTCGACGTCGGCAAGGAGCTGCAGCAGCCGGTGGATGTCGTACTGCGAGGAGCAGCGCTGCAGCATCGTGAGGAGCAGCACCGAGGCCTGGCTCTCAACCCACTGCAGGGGGAGGCCACCAGGGGGCGCAGGACCACCGTTTCTCAGCTACATAAGGAGAGAGGCAGATTAGAGACCCTTTGCTTAAACAGCTGCTGGGTCGGGCTTCTGTCCCTGAATGACCCATCAGTTCAGAGCAATAATCACCAGCATCTACTGCAACAGCAGCAAGTGTGAGAAATCAGTTTGTAAGTAGCTGACAAATGTGAAATAGAGTAAAAGTTAAAAACAGAAGCTCAGTTCTCGTGGTCGCTAACAGATGATGAGGAAAAACATGCGTTCAGGTAAACTAAAGGACGGATGGACTGATGAGGAAGGCCTGTCTTTGTCTTTTGTGTCGGGCACTGGAGCAGTCGGCCGGACTCACAGCGATGAGGGTCCGTTGGAAGTCCAGCAGCTTCGACTTGGCCTCAGCGAAGTTTCTGTAGTCGCAGCACAGCTCAAACATCCTGAGCACCAACACCAGAGGACAGTCCTGAGAGTCAGACGGAAAAACAACGAGTTTGTGTTTCAAGCTGATGCGACGAAGTGTTGAACGTTGACCACAACTGCAGCGGTCAGACCAATGGTGACTGAGGCGTGTTTTTACCTTCTGGAAGAGCTCGAAGCCTCGCAGGAGGGGCCTCACGAGGCTCCGGCCCAGGAGCGTCTTCCAGATGATGGAAAGGTCGTGCACGGTCCATTCGTGATGCTGCGGCGCCTGAGCCAGGTGGGAGGTGGCTTCCTTGGCGGTGACATCATCGACAGAGGTCAGCACCCACACACAAAGGCACGGCAGCAGCTCTGCTCCCTGAAAACATCAGGTTTCGAACATGTTTGTACTGCGGTACATGCATCACAGAGGAGCCTGTACAGGTGAAGGTGCAAACAGCACTCTCTCTGAGCACTTGCTCAAGTTTTACACAACTTGTTTTCCACTGTTCATGCTCCAGTGGATGCATCAGAGAGTAACTTGCTCCGATGTATCTTAGCACAGATCAAACCACCGATTAGCAAACGGCCTGCTCTACCTCCTGAGCTGAGCCCTGTAACTTTGATAATGACTGGAAAGGATAGCTGGGTGTGTTTCGCTCCCTTACCTGCATGCAGGCAGCCAGTACCGCCAGCGTCGGGCAGCGCTGCACCAGCGCCTCCTGCAGGAGGTATCTGCAGGGTGCCGGCTCCTCCTGGCTCTGCAGGAGCACCTGGAACATCTCCCCAGGGCGCTCCGGGCTCCCTGAGACCGCCTCCTCAGTTCTCAGAACCGAATGCTGCTCATCAGAGTCGCAGCTCTTCCGCTTACAGTAAACCTGCAGGTCCTGAAACGCCAAGCTCAGGTGGGCCTGGAGGGTGGGGCCAAACTGAGCTGCCAGCGACCTCACCTGGAGGAAGAGCCAGACGTAGATGTTTGAGAGAGATTAATGTTTATGAACCTGCAGGGCCAGGCTGACCGTGCAGAGGGTACTGCTGTGTGTGTGTGT